ATATATATGCATAATTCACAGAAATTCTTTAATTCTTTACATAATTCACAGAAATTCCTGAACGGTGTAAAAAAAAAATTATATAGTTAATTATATTTACTATTATTTCCAGTTAAAAGAATTTTATACGACGTATATAATAAAATTTAAATAAACCTATATTCTTGGGCAATTACCTTTGCTGAATCGTTGCCTTTTGGTTTTATCTTTTTTTCCTTCGTTTAACATGCAAAATTTAGTTACCTTGACGGGTTTATACTTTTAACTATATATCTTCTATATGTAACTTTGCTAGAACATAGCAACACAACGGTGTGGGATTCACAAGGATTCAAAAAAAATATGTTAAAGTATGGTTCGAATACTCCAAGTTTTCTTAATAGACTTGTCAACGCGAGATTCCTAAAAAAGTATTGTAAAACAATATAAAAAATTTTTTTATCAATTGTGTAACGATCTTCCAAATTTGGAAGGGTCTCCCTTGGACATTCGCTATATAGAATATTTGAAAATTCATTAAGGCCAAAAAAAAAAATTAATTAGAACATTAGCGAAAAATGAAACGTAGTTACTTCGAAATGGTTCAAATAAATAATTTCAGTCAACAGAAATCAGAAAAATAAGTGCAATATTTATGTGAATTCTTTAGAATTTTGCGCTTTTCTTTATAATTAAGTAAGTAAAATTTTATTCGATTAATTGTTTTAATTTTACTGATAAAAATCTGATCATAGTAAAATTATCAATGTAACTGGCATAGTTTTGATTAAATAGTCGATGTGACACCCCAATAATATCGATATGGGCTAGGGGAATAAATACGGTACGTATCAAATTATTGCTGTAAATCATCATGTGATAAAATCGAATTTTGTGACTTATTGAATTGAATCAAAACCGCCCATATGTCGCGTCCTGGTAATATTGGTCTGAAAAATGTCAACTTTTACTCCTATTATATTAAAAACCAACATAGGTATCTCTTCGCGACGCATTTTATTTTTTTGATTTTATTTATTTATTTTTTTTTGCTTACAAAGTAGTTTTTTTCTTTCTTGCTAGAACCACAAATAATCGACGATCCTGCCTATTTCAAAGATGAGTACAGCTGGTCATTGTTAAGCTTCCTTCTCTACCGTCAACAACAGAATGATTTTCAACTCAATAAAAGGGAAGAACACGCCCGATATGCTCGCAACCTCTCAAGCATATTGAATGGGAATCAAGTGAATGAAACTGTAATAAAGCTAACTGAAGACGCGCTTTCCAGATTTGAAGTTACGTAAATTTTTTCTTTTTGATTTTTTTGAGACAGTGGGTGGGTCTGAAAGACTTTCGTCCTTCAGATGGGATTGCGATCTGAGACAACCACCCACACCTCCGGACTGCGATCTGGGGTGATGACCTGCGGCTCGTGGTGGTTTCACCCTGTCTCCCAAAATATTTATTCTGGCGTTAGCGGACAGGTCCAAAGGATGAAAATCCTGCGGATGGGATTGCGATCTGAGACAACCATCCACACCCTCGGATTGCGATCTGGGGGTGATGACCTGCGGCTCGAGGTGGTTCTGTCCTAACTCTGGATTTATACAATCTTCCGAAAAGCATTGCTTCTTTGTTGATTTACTAACATATATAGTTAATATATCATTTAATAGGATGAAAAGAGATCGTCGTTAGTCGCTGAATTCTGGAAAAATGCAAAATTATCCCAAAGACGGAAAGTTTTGGCAATAAATAACCGAATTACTTTGATGGTATGAAATAAAATCGTTGATTTTTTCAAAAAAAAAAAAAAATTTGTTGATTCTGATATGTCAAAGAAATATAGTGTTAAACATGTTTTGCTTTCCTCCAATGTTATAGGAAGAAAATCACACATTCCGTTTTCCAGCAAGATCAAATTGTAAGAGATAGTTACACAAAGCGTCTAAGTAACGGACAATTCCTGGAAAATAGTGAACGTAGTAAAAAACAAAAGCTTGTGAGAATTTTTGAAATTTTGTTTTGTAACATATGCTAATGCAAGTGGAAGTAATACTAATTTAACACGATATTTCCAATATTTAGAATGAAGGCCGAGTAGCGGAAAACAATGTAAGCGATGAAAAACCAGAAGGATATATGGGCTAAGTGCCGAGAAAAGAGACCAAATCGAAAATCTTTTTTTAATCCAAAATCAGCCCAGAAACATTTTTTTACTTAAAGAGCAAATATTATTTATTATCTTAGTATTTTTTTTATAATTTATTATAGAATTTATAATATAAAATCAATTTTTCGCATACTTTTTCGTTGATTTGGACCCTTTTCTCAGTACCAAGCCCAAATTAACAATCAACAGATTTATAAGATTTATTAATTGACATTTTTAATACTATAGGATGGTTGCGAAAATCGAAATCAAAAAACCATAAAAGATTTTTTCTTTGAGAATGTTATTATTACTCAACTTTCGCATAAGACTACTCCATTATCTGCCATACCAAAAGTAGCCAGTATTAATGAAAATAGCCCTTCAACTGAACAAAGAGAGCGTACTGAACAAGTAAGGAATTTTAGATCTAGCAAATTTCATATAGATAGATAACTTGCTTATTATTTGCCATTTTATATAGTTCGATCTTCCCATAGAAGAGATAGACAGTCTTCTGCACGAAAACCCTGGCGATTTTATTGATTGTAGACTAATTATCAACGGTGTATGTATACGATCAGAGATGGAAAAGTGGCGCCAGTTGTCAAAATGTGAAGAAGAACTTCATAAACAAGAGTATGTATATCTCATTAATATAATTATGTGGGCTAGGTGCTGAGAAAAGGACCGGAATTGACAATTTTTAAATAAATTTTTTTGAGCTTGACTAATTTAAAATTAGTCTAGAAACATTTTTCACTTTAAATTTTCCGCAAAACTTTTTTTGTCAATTTCGTCCCTTTTTTCGGCACCAAGCCCATATGCACCTTAAATATTTTCTACTTTAAATTAACATTTTAATTTTTTAATATTTTACAGTTTGATGCATTATAATATTATCGATACAACTGCTTCATCCGCAACAGAAGTGCGTAAGCTTTTCAAAGAGCGCTGGAATGATATTATCAGTACCATAGAACAAATTTTGACACCTAGTGAAACACAATTAGCTTCTTCTACTGGTGCCACATATCAAGACACAGAAAACGATGGGCAACCGGAAGAAGTAAAGCAATATACAAAAGACATCACAGCAAATGTGGTGAGTAGGAATTATTTTAAAGTATGATTTATTTTGTCTCTAATGTCTATTTCATTAGAATTCAGCAAAGAAATTGCGTACTGCCATAAAAACGGAGCGTGCAAAATTGCGAACTGGCAATAATATAAAATGGAAGAGACGGACCTTAGGGTTGATGAAAATCTTGTAAGTATTCTGTGCAGGTTATTTTTAATCCGGTTTACATTCATGAACAACTTACATTACTATAGTCGAGATCAACTCTCAACTGGTGTAAACTATTTCAAAGAGGATCAAACTGAATACAACTATATAATTCGGTTTATTTCTCGTGTCTATAATATATTATTCAAAGACAAGACATTTTTGAAACAAAGTTGGTGAGTAAAATTATTTTAATATCCATTTGCATTGTTTTTATTTATCGTTAATTGGTATACGTACAATAGGGGCGAAAAAACTTTACGATCTTCTGCAATTCTACTTAATCAGTCGTTAAAAGATGACGATCGACGTTGTTCCGGTAACAAGATTGACGCAATCTTATTAATGGCTGAGCTAGACTTAGAGATTTCGACTTTAGAAGTTACGGGATCTCCATCGTGTCCTGAGCATACTCATTACGTCGGAGACAGAAATAAAATCGCAAAGATGCTCAAAATTATCTTAAACTTCATCAAAATAAGTTACTCAGGTTGTTTTGAAGATTTTAGAAGGATAAAAGTATATGGCGTCCAAGTATATGGTAAGTTCATATACCAGATAGAAATTCTATTTTAAATATAATTAACGCTTTTTTTTCATAAATTTCTTTAGACCATAATTTTTATATTTATAGCATGTGCTTACCTTTCGCCGGTGTTGATTATTTCAAATTGGAAAAAAAGTTTTCTTATCCGACGATGCCATTTATGTTTTTCAAAGGGTTACCAAAGTTCACCTCAAATCTGTGGATAATGCGGGTAAGAGCTTGCATAAAATTTTACGTACATGTGATAATGTCAATTTAATGATATTCTTGAAAATTAGGATATGATAATTTCGAGTGCTAGAAGTATAATGAGTATGCTCAGGACACGATGGAGATCCCGTAACTTCTAAAGTCGAAATCTCTAAGTCTAGCTCAGCCATTAATAAGATTGCGTCAATCTTGTTACCGGAACAACGTCGATCGTCATCTTTTAACGACTGATTAAGTAGAATTGCAGAAGATCGTAAAGTTTTTTCGCCCCTATTGTACGTATACCAATTAACGATAAATAAAAACAATGCAAATGGATATTAAAATAATTTTACTCACCAACTTTGTTTCAAAAATGTCTTGTCTTTGAATAATATATTATAGACACGAGAAATAAACCGAATTATATAGTTGTATTCAGTTTGATCCTCTTTGAAATAGTTTACACCAGTTGAGAGTTGATCTCGACTATAGTAATGTAAGTTGTTCATGAATGTAAACCGGATTAAAAATAACCTGCACAGAATACTTACAAGATTTTCATCAACCCTAAGGTCCGTCTCTTCCATTTTATATTATTGCCAGTTCGCAATTTTGCACGCTCCGTTTTTATGGCAGTACGCAATTTCTTTGCTGAATTCTAATGAAATAGACATTAGAGACAAAATAAATCATACTTTAAAATAATTCCTACTCACCACATTTGCTGTGATGTCTTTTGTATATTGCTTTACTTCTTCCGGTTGCCCATCGTTTTCTGTGTCTTGATATGTGGCACCAGTAGAAGAAGCTAATTGTGTTTCACTAGGTGTCAAAATTTGTTCTATGGTACTGATAATATCATTCCAGCGCTCTTTGAAAAGCTTACGCACTTCTGTTGCGGATGAAGCAGTTGTATCGATAATATTATAATGCATCAAACTGTAAAATATTAAAAAATTAAAATGTTAATTTAAAGTAGAAAATATTTAAGGTGCATATGGGCTTGGTGCCGAAAAAAGGGACGAAATTGACAAAAAAAGTTTTGCGGAAAATTTAAAGTGAAAAATGTTTCTAGACTAATTTTAAATTAGTCAAGCTCAAAAAAATTTATTTAAAAATTGTCAATTCCGGTCCTTTTCTCAGCACCTAGCCCACATAATTATATTAATGAGATATACATACTCTTGTTTATGAAGTTCTTCTTCACATTTTGACAACTGGCGCCACTTTTCCATCTCTGATCGTATACATACACCGTTGATAATTAGTCTACAATCAATAAAATCGCCAGGGTTTTCGTGCAGAAGACTGTCTATCTCTTCTATGGGAAGATCGAACTATATAAAATGGCAAATAATAAGCAAGTTATCTATCTATATGAAATTTGCTAGATCTAAAATTCCTTACTTGTTCAGTACGCTCTCTTTGTTCAGTTGAAGGGCTATTTTCATTAATACTGGCTACTTTTGGTATGGCAGATAATGGAGTAGTCTTATGCGAAAGTTGAGTAATAATAACATTCTCAAAGAAAAAATCTTTTATGGTTTTTTGATTTCGATTTTCGCAACCATCCTATAGTATTAAAAATGTCAATTAATAAATCTTATAAATCTGTTGATTGTTAATTTGGGCTTGGTACTGAGAAAAGGGTCCAAATCAACGAAAAAGTATGCGAAAAATTGATTTTATATTATAAATTCTATAATAAATTATAAAAAAAATACTAAGATAATAAATAATATTTGCTCTTTAAGTAAAAAAATGTTTCTGGGCTGATTTTGGATTAAAAAAAGATTTTCGATTTGGTCTCTTTTCTCGGCACTTAGCCCATATATCCTTCTGGTTTTTCATCGCTTACATTGTTTTCCGCTACTCGGCCTTCATTCTAAATATTGGAAATATCGTGTTAAATTAGTATTACTTCCACTTGCATTAGCATATGTTACAAAACAAAATTTCAAAAATTCTCACAAGCTTTTGTTTTTTACTACGTTCACTATTTTCCAGGAATTGTCCGTTACTTAGACGCTTTGTGTAACTATCTCTTACAATTTGATCTTGCTGGAAAACGGAATGTGTGATTTTCTTCCTATAACATTGGAGGAAAGCAAAACATGTTTAACACTATATTTCTTTGACATATCAGAATCAACAAATTTTTTTTTTTTTTTGAAAAAATCAACGATTTTATTTCATACCATCAAAGTAATTCGGTTATTTATTGCCAAAACTTTCCGTCTTTGGGATAATTTTGCATTTTTCCAGAATTCAGCGACTAACGACGATCTCTTTTCATCCTATTAAATGATATATTAACTATATATGTTAGTAAATCAACAAAGAAGCAATGCTTTTCGGAAGATTGTATAAATCCAGAGTTAGGACAGAACCACCTCGAGCCGCAGGTCATCACCCCCAGATCGCAATCCGAGGGTGTGGATGGTTGTCTCAGATCGCAATCCCATCCGCAGGATTTTCATCCTTTGGACCTGTCCGCTAACGCCAGAATAAATATTTTGGGAGACAGGGTGAAACCACCACGAGCCGCAGGTCATCACCCCAGATCGCAGTCCGGAGGTGTGGGTGGTTGTCTCAGATCGCAATCCCATCTGAAGGACGAAAGTCTTTCAGACCCACCCACTGTCTCAAAAAAATCAAAAAGAAAAAATTTACGTAACTTCAAATCTGGAAAGCGCGTCTTCAGTTAGCTTTATTACAGTTTCATTCACTTGATTCCCATTCAATATGCTTGAGAGGTTGCGAGCATATCGGGCGTGTTCTTCCCTTTTATTGAGTTGAAAATCATTCTGTTGTTGACGGTAGAGAAGGAAGCTTAACAATGACCAGCTGTACTCATCTTTGAAATAGGCAGGATCGTCGATTATTTGTGGTTCTAGCAAGAAAGAAAAAAACTACTTTGTAAGCAAAAAAAAATAAATAAATAAAATCAAAAAAATAAAATGCGTCGCGAAGAGATACCTATGTTGGTTTTTAATATAATAGGAGTAAAAGTTGACATTTTTCAGACCAATATTACCAGGACGCGACATATGGGCGGTTTTGATTCAATTCAATAAGTCACAAAATTCGATTTTATCACATGATGATTTACAGCAATAATTTGATACGTACCGTATTTATTCCCCTAGCCCATATCGATATTATTGGGGTGTCACATCGACTATTTAATCAAAACTATGCCAGTTACATTGATAATTTTACTATGATCAGATTTTTATCAGTAAAATTAAAACAATTAATCGAATAAAATTTTACTTACTTAATTATAAAGAAAAGCGCAAAATTCTAAAGAATTCACATAAATATTGCACTTATTTTTCTGATTTCTGTTGACTGAAATTATTTATTTGAACCATTTCGAAGTAACTACGTTTCATTTTTCGCTAATGTTCTAATTAATTTTTTTTTTTGGCCTTAATGAATTTTCAAATATTCTATATAGCGAATGTCCAAGGGAGACCCTTCCAAATTTGGAAGATCGTTACACAATTGATAAAAAAATTTTTTATATTGTTTTACAATACTTTTTTAGGAATCTCGCGTTGACAAGTCTATTAAGAAAACTTGGAGTATTCGAACCATACTTTAACATATTTTTTTTGAATCCTTGTGAATCCCACACCGTTGTGTTGCTATGTTCTAGCAAAGTTACATATAGAAGATATATAGTTAAAAGTATAAACCCGTCAAGGTAACTAAATTTTGCATGTTAAACGAAGGAAAAAAAGATAAAACCAAAAGGCAACGATTCAGCAAAGGTAATTGCCCAAGAATATAGGTTTATTTAAATTTTATTATATACGTCGTATAAAATTCTTTTAACTGGAAATAATAGTAAATATAATTAACTATATAATTTTTTTTTTACACCGTTCAGGAATTTCTGTGAATTATGTAAAGAATTAAAGAATTTCTGTGAATTATGCATATATAT